ACCATGGCTAGGAAATCTGACTTCTGGGTCACTGCTCTTAAGTTCCAGAGTGCTCAAGCAAGATCCCACCCAGAGGTGCTGCGCCTCTCGGTCCCCCACCCCCACACCTATAAACTGCACCTAAGTCTGTGTGTGTGTGTGTGTGTGTGTACTTCTCTGCCACATCACACCTGCCAAATAGTCCCTGCCTTCCCGCCTTCTCTCTTTCCTGGCACTGGGATAGCAGAGAATTGGGTGGGGCAATCCTGCCCAATCCACACCTGAGAACAGAACAGGGTATGGGTCTGGGGAAGGAGGGAGAAGCCCCAGTCCTGGGGGAGGCTTCTGTCCTGAAACATAGAGTATGTGTTGCCACCATAGGTCCTCAATGGCCATAGATGACCCCTACCTAGCCACTGTTGGGTCGGTGCTACTTGTGGGAACCCACGTTGGCACCGGGCACGCCTGCACACAGATGCCTGTTTGCCTGTGCATGCCCGTGTGTGTTTGGGCTACAGTGGCTGCCCTGGCCTCTCCACATTACCCTTGATGTTTCTCCATAGTGTGGAATCAGGACATCTATGCAGGATGACTGGGAGTTGGGGTGGGGGGACTCTTCCCCCCATCCTAGTAGCAAGCAGAGGGGAAGGGGAGAGGGAGGTGTGAACCTACCCACAGCACTATTAATAGCCCACATGCCAGGCCACCAAGAACCAGCTGTCACCGTGGAAACCATTTCGACTCCCCCTCCCCCAGCCTCCATGGGGTGGGACTTAGGCAGGGCAGAAGCACCCCCCCATCTTGCTTTGTTACTCCCCCTCTCCCTTTGTCTCTCTCTCATCTGCCTCTCCTCCCTTATCTGTCCTTCCCATCTCACCCCTTCCTCTCCCACCCTCTTTCCCATCGCTCCCTCCTTCCTTTCCCCCCACTTCCTTGACACCCCTTGCTTTGCCCACATCTCTACCTCACCTCTTTGTCCTTCCCTCTATATTTTTCTTTCCCTCTTTTCCCATCGTTCCCTTTACCTGTCTCTTCCTCCTTTTTTCTCCCCTCTTTACAGCTCCTCAGTGTGTGTGCATGTTCGTGTGTGTGTGTGTGTGTGTGTGTGTGTGTGTGTGTGTGTGTAAGGATGGCTAGGCTTTCCTCAAAGCATTTAAGGACAAAGTTCAGGGGCCCCAGAAAGGTAGAGCCATAGCCCAGTGCAGAGCCTCAGAAGCGTGCACACTACTTGCTACTAGATGGTTAGGGGCAGAGTCCCTGCCGGCAGCCTCAGGAGTCCTTTGGGCGTATCCCAGGGATCCACGGAACTGCAGAGTAGGACAGGCGGCAGTGGGAACCTGGCATGGTGCCCATGGATGCCGCATCGGCTTCTTGTCCCTGTCCCCCATTGCAGAATCACTTAAGCTTAATGAAATGCTTCCCCCTCTATGGGCAACTTGCCCATGCTGCCACCCAACAGCTCTTGTCTGACAAAGGAGGAGTGGGTGGCCAGGCCGTTGGACAGGTGGGTCTTTTAGTCCTGCTGTCCAAATGAGAGCCTGGACCCCATAGCTCCACCCTCTTTTGTCTCTTTGGGTCTGAGCCCCCTTCCCCGCCACAAAGGCTGTGCTAGGAAGGAGCTGGGGACTATTAAGCCAACTCCAGGAAGAGGGGAGAGAGGCTGCCCTTCAGGGTGGTTATCCTTGACGTAATACCCCTTCCCCACTGACCCTTTCCTGCCTGGAGCTGACATGGGCTCACATGGTTTGTGCCTTCCTGCATGCTGGGCCTCTGCCTGGGCTCTGTGTAGGCCCATATCATCCTTGGAGAGGTTTTCAGGTGTCCCCAGGGGTTCCAGACACTTGCTAGGCGCCAGACAAAAAATGCTCTAAGAAGTGAGGCTAGCACCTTGACCCTCTTCCACTGCCAGGGGATAACCGTAACTTGGGCCACACCACCTGGCACCAGGGCACATTCAGCTCAGCACAGAGGTAAGGCAGACAAGGACCATGCCCCTCCCGCTGTGGGCACGTGCAAGCCTTTGGCAGTGCCCAGACACATTTGGAGTTAAGGCTGGGCCAGGGAGGAGAGAGGGGAAATAAACAGGGTAGCTTAGATTGGCACTGCCCCACGTCTGCCTTGTAGCAACTGGTAGTGGTGGGATGCTGGGGGGAAGGGCACCTCCAGAGCTCTGGCCTGAGGCAGGAGCTTCCCATGCCACTGGCTCCTGCTGAGGTTCCCTGCCAGGCCCTGCCCACAGCTGCTAATACCCATTCCTACACACCCTGGCCTTCTTTGCCTGCCCCCAAGGCCTGTTCCCCAGGGCTGCCCCTCTCTGCTTGCCCACTCCTGGGTCTGCCTCCTCCCTTCCCTGGGGGCGCTTGGGCCTCCGGCTGGCGAGTGGATTTTTCCAGCTTCTGTAAACAAGTGATGGCAGTGTGCCAGGCGGGCAGGAGACAGGCGGGGGCAACACCGCAGCCAGGGTGTGCCAAGCACCGAGGCCTAGTCGGGTGGTGGTGGGGGGACGGGGGACGGGGGGGGGACGGGGAGGGAGACACCCAGACCCAAAGAGAGAGAGAAAGAAAGAGAAAGAGAGATTCAGACCGACAGACAGACAGACAGACTGACTGAAGCCTTGCTGGGCACAGCCAGCAGTGGGGACAGAATGGTCTCTATTGTCCAGCACCCATCGTGCTCCTCACTGTTGCCCCCCTGTTCTAGCTAAGACAGTGCCCAGCCCTGGGCATCCCCACCCACTTCTCCTCCTCCCCCACCTCCACCCCTTAGGGCTGGCTATGCCATTATAAATTTATAACAGGAATTTCTCCACAAGCCAAGAAAAACTTGACCTACTTTCTTGATGGCTCCCTGGGCTAAGTCTCCCCACTCACTGCCCCCCCAGACTCCTGTCCAGCCCCCAGTGCCCAGTCCTGGCCTGGGGGTGTCAGAGACAGACTGAGCCCCTTTTCTGTGTAATTCCTATTTTTCCCACCCCAGGGGCTTGCATGAGTCCAGAGGCCCTGTCCTGTTGCCCTGCCCCTGCCCAATGCCCTGCTTTATCTCTGCCCCCTCCTCTCACCCTGACTCCTTATCAGCTCATGGGGGTGGAGCAGGGGGCCTAAGCAAGGTCTCTGCTGCAGCAGCCACGTGATGGAGTCGTATGTGGGGAGCTGCACCCTTTGCCCCTCCCATATGCCCACACCTGCTTGTGCATGCAGCCAGGACACCGTAGGCCTGCAGCCAGGGTCACAGTGGGCAGCTCAGAGGAACTGGAGGTGGAAGTCTGGTCTAGCACTCTTTTTCCTCCAAGTAGCAGAATAAGGCCAGCACTAGAGCCAGGCTGTGACGCTGTAACCCCTGAGCTACCAGCTTCCTAGCTGCATGAGCTTGAGGGACTCACCAAGCTTTCTGAGACTTGGTTTCCCCACCCAGAAAGTTCATTCTATTTTATTTTATTTTTTAATGTTATGCTCTTTTGTTTTTTATATAGAGTTCACTGTATAGCCCAGGCTTTCCTTAGATTTGTGACAATCCTCCTGCCTCAGCCTCCTGAGTACTTGAACTATAGGCATACATCATCAATACATCTGGGAAACTTTTTTTTTTCTTTTTTTTTTTTTTTTAGGACAGGGTCTCTAGCACAGACTGGTGTTAAACTCACTCTGTGACTGAGGATAACCTTGAACTTCTTCTTTTTTTTTTTTTGAGACAGAATTTTTCTATGTGTAGCCCTGGCTATCCTGGAACTTCCTGAAACTCACTCTGTAGACCAGGCTGGCCTCTCAGACTCACAAAGATTCACCTGCCTCTGCCTCTTGAGTGCTAGAATTAAAGGCATGTGCCACCACCACCTAGCCAACCTTGAATGTCTAATTCTCCTGCCTCTAGCTCCCAAGTGCTGGGATGACACACACGCCAGCCTCTTCCATCTGCAAAGTTCTCGAGCCCCCTTCAGAATGAGCATCCTATCTGTTCAGTGGACATCAACACATGTTCGCTTCCTTCCTTTTCCCGCCCTGATGGATGGCAGCCAGTCAGCTAAATCAGCTAATTCTCGTCCTTACACTGGACACTGGGGTTTGGGACTTGGTGTGAGGGATTTAGAAACCCTTAAAGGGGCCAGGCATGGTAGGGCATACCCTTACTCCCAGCAGTCCAGAAGCAGAGGCAGATGGATTTCTGCAAGTTCTAAGACGGCCTGGTGTACATAGTGAGTTCTGGTCTCAGAAAAAGAAAAAGAATGTCCTCGAGGGGCAAGAGTTGGAGTTTCGCTAATGCACTGGAAGCAGAGAGAGTCCATTCTCCTTTGTTTTTGTTGTCTCTCTCTCCTTTAAGAGTGGGCTAGGGCTGGGCAGTGGTGGCACACACCTTTAATCCCAGCACTCGGGAGGCAGAGCCAGGTGGATCTCTGTGAGTTCGAGGCCAGCCTAGTACACAGAGTGAGATCCAGGACAGGCACCAAAGCTACACAGAGAAACCCTGTCTGGGGGGGGGGGGGGAGTGGGCTAGGAACATAAGCCAGCGGTAGAGTACTGGCTCAGCATACACAAGGCCCTGGGACATTCATAATCCCTATATGCTATCCTTCTGCCCCACCCTGCCTTTGTGGGGGACCCCAGCCCCATGCCTGTGCTTCAGACTGCTTATCTCTGATCCCCTCTTGCCTTATAACACTGATAAATCCTAAAAAAAAAAAAAAAAAAAAAAAATCTTGGGTAAAGGGTGGTAACAATAGCTAATATTTAATAGGCGCTCATAAAAGGCCAGGCGTCTGTTTGAATGTGAGCATTGAGACTAGTTACCTGCTGCGTAGATGACCTCATTCTTCCCCCTCACCCCTCCCTGTGTCTGGGGCCTGTGTTTAGCTCTCCAACTGTACCTGTGACAGAAGGTTATTCTGGTCCTATTCCTGTACCTTCCCGCCATGCCCACTGCCATTTTGCTACAGGCCCCAGGAAGCTACTAAATATTTCCACTAACTCTTGCTCACTGACCCACCCCTGTGGCACCTTCTTACCCCTGCCTCTCTCTTCTCTCCACAGATATCTCCCGACAGGACACGCCTCTGAAGACCTCCCAGCCCCTAACCCAGTGCCATTCACCAACCCAGCTTGCCCCTAGCTCTCCCACCTGCCGCTCCCTGGCCCCTCCCACCACCCGCCCTCACCCCTTTGGGGCGCAGGGCATGGTGTGAAAGGCTGAGTACTGAGACGGGTACCATGGGTGCTGTGCCCTAGGGCCTGGGTGGTGGGGGGTGGGTGGCCTGTGGGCGTGGGGGGGGGCAGTGTGCCCACCCCAGTCTCTTGGCGTGCTGGAGGGCATCCTGGATGGAATTGAAGTGAATGGAACAGAAGCCAAGCAAGGTGGAGTGTGGGTCGGACCCAGAGGAGAACAGGTAATGAATGGGTCTAGCAAGCCTGGTAGTGCCTACTCATAGCAACAGACATGGATAGCTCTCTGGGCTTAAGAGAGCTGGTCTCTTTTAAGTACCCCTGAAGATGGACATGAAGCCAGCAGGCCAGGGGCTGAGGGCATGTTTCTATGTCTCAGAGAATTAGGCACTAAGCTTGAGAGATGCTTACTTTGAAGGGGAAAGTGATAGGAAACAGAGTCATCACAGGCAACAGACATGTGGCCCCTTCCTTGGCAGTGCTGGGCAGTCTCAAATGTCCCCATTGTCCCCTCTCCCAGTGTTCCCTTCACTTGAGCGTGTGTGATCCCAGTGGCCTTACCGTTTTCTTCTTCTTCCAATCCATTCACCATCTGACCACCTGACCACAAACAAGCATGCTCGTCCACAAGCTGTGGTGCATATAACATAACATTTCCGGGTACAGGCACCAACAACTGTCGGTCGGAGCCCACACTTCTTTTTGGAATCTATTGGAAACCCCACACACTCTCCGTTGTTCATGGTCAAAGGCGGGCACTGCGATGGTGCTCCTCCCAGGAAGTGGAAGTATGCATCAACTATGAAGGTTTTACTTAGACATGGATGAGGCGTCACCCTGTACGCACAACTAGGGAGGGGCCGCCTCTCATCTGCCTGCCCTCGATCAGTTCAGAGGGTCCCTGCCTTCTCGGGCCGCTCCAAGTGGCACAGAGCTCTGTCCCATTTGGCATGGTGTCCCAGGAGCTGGGTACAGCCTGTGCCTATGGCCAGGGCAATAGTGGGGGTGGGGTGCTCTGGGGAGCAGTGTAGCTGGCTGTTGTCTAGGAGATCAGGTCCTGAGCCAGAAGGCCGGAAGTTTGGCCAGGCAAAGCCCTTGTGTTCAAGACTGGTTCTTTGGAGGGGCAGAAATAGTGGATGGAGTTTGTGATCGTGTCGGTAGGGCACTGGGTAAGCCCCTTCCCCCAAAGTCCCATGCTTAGACTCTGAGACAGACTGCCACCATGTAGCTATCCCTTGCATCTCCAGTATTTCCCTGCCAAGGCTTCTGGGGGAGCCTGCTCTAAGGTCTTGGATAGAGGTAGAAATGTATAAAGGTTCCTAGTCCCTCGGAATTGAGACACCTCTTCTCCTCCCCCTCCCCTCCCCCATGCATATGCACCACCTTGTGGCTGTGTGTGGAACTGCACCCAGAGGCTCTGAGCCTGGTGATATCCGAAGCTGTCTGTTCAGCTGGGACCTAGGTGGCCTGAGTTCGCCTGCACTCGCACACTCACACACACACAGAAGGCTGGAGGCAAGCCTGACCTTCCAGCCTTGTAGAAACCAGACAGGGGTAATCCCCAGGGTGTGTGAAGCACAAGGCTGTCTGTGACCGTGACCCTGTCCAAGGTCACTGTGTCAGTGTGTTGGGAGCTGCACCAGGCTGTAGGAGGAGGGGCTCTGCAACATGTCACACACAGGGTGGGTGTGGAAGGTTATACAATCCTTGCATGCGTAGAGGCTTATGTAACCTGCGTGTGCTGAGGTTACGTAACACATATGTGGAAAACCTGGCAACATATATGTGCTGTGGCTGACAGTTGCTAATAATACCTTGCATGGAGCAGCTCAGAGTCCTTTTCCTGGCCGGTTCCAGTGCTTGGTGTCACAGTGCCCAAATGGCACCTTAAGTTTCCGATTTGTTATTTGGAGGCCATGAACAGGGTGACCCTAATAGTTTCAGTCCGCATGGGTTATTTAGCATGTGTGCATGACCTAGAAATTAAGCAACATGTTCACATGGGAGGGAGGATGGCACTAATGGGTGCCTGCCCAGGGGGTTCTATAACACATGGACACATCCTAGAAGTCGTTTAATACATTTGAGAATGCCCTGAAGATTGCACGAATTTGTAGATCCTAAAGCTTATTACCATACTTGGGTTTATACTGAAGGCTGCATAGTTATTCACATGCGTAGGTGTCATATTGCATATATATATATATATATATATATATATATATACACACACACACACACACATATTCTAAAGGTTACATAGCTTTAAGAATATTCCAAGGAGCATTTCAGCTCCTTTTGGCATACACTGAAGGCTTAACTATGTGAATGTTCTATAGATTGTGGGTGAAATGTATATGTGTGTGTGTGTGTGTGTGTGTGTGTGTGTGTGTGTGTGTGTGTGGTGGGGGACTTTGGAACACTGCTTACGTGTGAGACATGTATGCATTTTGGAGTCTCATAGCAATCCTTGTCTGTGTGAATGTGTTGGGGCCCTAAACATGGTTTTGGTCCCAAGTAAGCCCCTTATCTCTCCCATGCAGCTACCAGATAGATAGACCCTTTTCAGCTGTCAGCTGATGTAGGGGTGGGAGGTGGACTAGGGACCTAAGACGGAGGGGGGAGCCAGGCGTGGGGGGGAGCCAGGCATGGGGGGGGAGCCAGGCGTGGGGGTTCGGGAAGCCTCTTAGGTGAGAAGGGGCTGGCCAGAGGCTGCTCTGTGATTCTTCCCACTTTGCCCCCTGCAGTACCAGGTCACCAGATGGAAAGCGAAAAAGAAAGAACGGCCAATGTTCCCTGAAAACCAGCATGTCAGGTGAGCCTAGCTCCGCATGCATGCCCCTCTCCCTACCTCGCCCCTCCAGAGCACACTTGGCTCCTCCAAGGCTGGGCCTGGAGCTCCTATGTCTCTAGAGGGAACAGCCTACAGCACATGGGTGGGATCTGCATGGGGGTGAGACTGGTGACTTATCTTGGCCTTTAAGGAGGAATTAGGTCAGGAAGGGCCTCTTTCACCCTCCCAGAACCTCCTCATTGAAGGATCCACCAGCCTCAGGGTGTCTGTTCTCCTAAGGTGGGGTGTTTCTTCTCCCAATTCCCTGTGCTATTCTGTCACTTAGATGTAACATTAAAAAAAAAAAAAAAAAAACCCTAGCCAGGCCAAGTGTAATGGCACCTACCTGCAGTTATAGCCCTTTAGGATACTGACATAGAAGGATCACTTGAACCCAGGGTTCAAGACCAGCCTGGGCAACATAGTAAGACCCAGCCTTAAGAATAAATAAAGACCTGGAAGGAGGGGGTGGGGGAGGGCCACTGAATGGGCAGTCGGAAGAATGAAGGGTCCATGTATTTGAAGGGAAAAGGGTGGGCAGTCCCCTCACCCCCTCTACGCGTCCCAGGACTTCTTTCTACTTTGAGATAAAGAACCTTTCAGTGAGGCTGAGCTAGGAGAAGAATGGGAAAGGCAGCGTTGGGTGGGCACCATCTAGGAGCTCCTCTGCCGGGCTCCACACCATGCCCACTGCCTCCACCCTTTCCCCCTTCCCAGGGTATATCCCTAGTTACCTGGACAAAGACGAGCAGTGTGTCGTGTGTGGGGACAAGGCAACCGGTTATCACTACCGCTGTATCACTTGTGAGGGCTGCAAGGTATGGACGAGCCGTCTCCTGTCCCTTCCCCAGAGCCTGAACCCCTTTGAATCTCCATACCTGGCATGACAGTCAGTCTCTGTAAACGTGTGACCTAAAGCCTGCCTGTTATGTCATTTTCTTCTCATTTATTCATTTGTTTGTTCATAATCCTCTCACATGCCATTTGCCTGACCTCTCTGAGCCTCAGTTTCTTCATTTATAAAATGGGAGAAATTATGCTACCTTTATTATAGAGTTAATAAGCAGATTAAACTAGATCATTTACCTGGCGCTACTTTAAATAACTGCAGAGGGGTGGAAAAAAGAGTATGGCAGATGTAAGAATTAGGACTGTGATAGCCTTTAAACTAACGCCAAGCACATACAAACATTTAGTAAAGGCCAGGCATCATCCATCCTTGCAGTGTGTTAGGAATAAGGGGTGAAAAGCCAAGAGTGGTAGAGCACACCTGTAATTCCAGCACTTGGGAAACTGAGGCATGAAGATCATGAGTTCATGGCCACCCTGGGAGATATATATATTAAGTTCTAGGCCAGCCTCAGCTACATAGGAAGACCCTGTCTCAAAAAAAGAATTTGTTGCACAGTAGTGCATGCTCATAACCCCAGGGCCCTGGAGGCACAGGCTACCTGATGCCTATGAGTTGAAGCCAACCTGATCTACCTAGTGAATACCAGACCAGCCAGGGCTACACAGTGAGACCCTGTGTCAAAAAAACAAAAAGCATGAGGGATACAGTATGTGTCCTACCTACCTTCAAGCTACTTGCAGTCTACCCAAGAAGCAATCTGCAAACAGGAATCAGTGTCTTTCAAAATCTGGCTCATAGAGGTTTGGCGAGATGGCCCTGTGGGAAAAGCGCTTTGCCGCACAAGCCTGAGGGTGTGAGTTCAGATCCCCAGCTCCCACATAAAAAGCCAGGGATGGCCGCATATCTGTCTGTACTCCAGAACTGTGAGGCAAAGACAGGGAGATCTTTGGGGCCTGCTGGCTAGCCAGTCTAGCTGGTCAGTAAACTCCATAGTGAGACCCTGTGTCAAATACAACATGAGACCAAAAGGGTGAGGAGTGATTGAAGAGCACACTAGATGTTGACCTCTGTCCACCACACGTGTACACACACACACACACACACACACACACACACACACACACACACACACATTACGGAGGCGGGGGTGCAGTATGATTCCCGGGTGACCTACAACACTAGCTGTAATGCAGATTCCCAGGCTACGTATGCCTCCTACTTAGTCCAAACCTTGTTGTGGTGGATTCCAGGAATCTGCTTTTAACAAGTGCCCCAGGTGATCCCAATGTACCTGAAGAGGTGAGAGCCCATGCTGAAGGGTCATGATGGGAACATAGAAGAAAAGATGACCAAACATTCTTTCCAGCAGAGGGTCAAAGGCCACAGACTTGGAAAAGCCTGTTAAATTCAACCAGTTTCAACCTGTATGGCTTTTCCAGGACCACCACCTCCTGCAAATGCGGGTCTTTCCAGAAAGAGATCATTTAGAAGTAAGTGAGACCAGGCATGGTGGTCTCATGCCTACAGTCCCATATTCAGAAGACAGAAGTAAAAGAGTCAAGTTCAAGGTCATCCTTAGCCAAATAGTGAGTTTGAGGCTAGCCTGGGCTGCATAAGACCCTCTCTCAAGCTGGGTGGTGGTGGTGGTGGTGGTGGTTCACGCCTTTAATCCCAGTACTCAGGAGGCAGGGGCAGGTGGATCTCTGAGTTCGAGGCCAACCTGGTCTACAGAGTGAGTTCCAGGATAGCAAGAGCTACACAGAGAAACCCTGTCTTGAAAAACCAAACAAAACAAGACCCTCTCTCAAACTAACACGCAAAGGTATACATACACAGTGCAGAAGCTTGAGGTTTCTCTCTCTTACTGTCAGCCAAACCAAAACCAGTTGAGATTCCACGTTTCAAAGCAGTGTTCCTGGAAATAATAGTAGCAACAAAGCCAAGAGCAAGGGTCCTCAGCTCCAAGGACGTCTGAGTCGCAGGGGAACATCCCCCAAAGACAGAGGTGCCCTGTCTCCACTTCTAGAGTTTGGTTTTGTAGGTCTAGAATGAGGCCCAGGAGTCTGTATCTTGGTGCGGTAATTTTAATTCACTCTAGGTCTGGACTCTCAGACCCTAGTGTCTTCTAGAGAAGGCCCAGTTCTGGCTTCGAGGTTAAAAGTAACATGCATGAAAGGCACATGCCAAGTGCACATCACATAGTGAGTTCATCGGGAATCAACACTTCATGTTGCTATCATCCCGATTCTTCAGGTTTTCCCTTTAAAACAAAGACTAAAGCAATAAGTTTTTAAAAATTTACAAGCTATTCATGTTCACACTCAGTGCATGTTCTCGAATATTGACCTCCCTATTTTATAAATCCTTTTTTTTTTTTTTTTTTGGTTTTTCGAGACAGGGTTTCTCTGTGTAGCTTTGCACCTTTCCTGGAACTCACTTGGTAGCCCAGGCTGGCCTCGAACTCACAGAGATCCGCCTGGCTCTGCCTCCCGAGTGCTGGGATTAAAGGCGTGCGCCACCACCGCCCGGCCCTATTTTATAAATCCTGTCTGCACAGATAATAGGCAAAATATTGTATATGGGAATGCTTTGGGGGTCAGCGTTGCTTTTAGAGTCATTTAGCAAGCCAGGCAAGATTGGACTTTCTAGGGCTGGCAATGGAACTCTTTTGGTTGAGTGCTTGCTTAGTATGCAGAAACCCTGGGTTCCATCCTAGCACCACAGAAACCAGCTGTGATGGCACATGCCTGTAATCCTAGCACTCCCGAGGCCAGAAGTTCAAGGTCATGCTTGGCTACATAGTGAGTTTGAGACCAGCCTAGGCTACATGAGACTCTGTCTTAAAAACTATTTAAAGTAGATTTCCAAGGCCCTTAGAGCACACACACCAGCCCAAGGCCCAGTGCTGCCAACGACACTCACTGTTCTGCCACCACAGACACCCCTCATCCCTCGGCAGCCTGGTGGTAAGGGCATGTGTTTCTCAGATCCTTTGGCTGGGTAGAGTCCAGCAATCCTGGGCCTACAGTGACATGTGGGTACCAGGTGACACTTGCTCCCCTTGCCCCGCCCCTACTTGGTGAACTCTCTGGTTGGCTCAGGAGAGGAAGTTGTAAGGGTGAAAACCTGCTCCCTGTGCCCCCGACCCTAGGGCTTCTTCCGCCGCACAATCCAGAAGAACCTCCATCCCACCTATTCCTGCAAATATGACAGCTGCTGCGTCATTGACAAGATCACCCGGAATCAGTGCCAGCTGTGCCGCTTTAAGAAGTGCATCGCCGTGGGCATGGCCATGGACTGTAAGGGGCACCCATGGGGCAGTGGAGTCAGGCAACTGCTGTGGTGGGGCTGAGTGCCAGGGTAGCAGATTCCTTCCTGGGTCCCCTCAGGGCAGAGTGGTAGCCAATGCAGGTCAGGCTGATTGTAAAGTCTTGATCTCAGATTTGGGGGCCTGGTGCCCTCATCCCAAAGGAAATGGAATTCCTGGGTCGGCTTGATGCTTCTTGCCATTTGAGGACCTTAGGGAGGGAGTTGTTGAGTAAAAACTTGGGTGTTGTGTGTCCCCAACCTAGCAGGGTTCCTGTTCCCCAGGAAGGCACATCTAAATGAGGAGGGGCTCTTTCCTCAACTGTGGGTTAGGTAGCAGGGTCAGCTAGAACTCCTCTCAAACAGCTCAAACCAGAACATTATTCCTCGGGCCAGCCTGCCTAGAGTTGACTTGGTCCCAGTGATTAAACATGGTTCTTATTGTGCCACCCTATTACTAAGTGATTTGGGAAGTCACTTAACCCCTTGTACTAGGATGAGAAATTTCTGAGCATTGTGGGGGCGTTGCCAGGCAAAATGTCTTTTGTCTGTCAACAGTGGTTCTAGACGATTCGAAGCGGGTGGCCAAACGCAAGCTGATCGAGCAGAACCGGGAGCGGAGGCGAAAGGAAGAGATGATCCGATCGCTACAGCAGCGACCAGAGCCCACTCCTGAAGAGTGGGATCTGATCCACGTTGCCACGGAGGCCCACCGCAGCACCAATGCCCAGGGCAGCCATTGGAAGCAGAGGCGAAAATTCCTGGTAAGAAAGCATGCCCATTGAGAGCGCAAAGGCTTGCCTCCCCTGGAACCCTTCTTGATTTAACCCAACCCAAAGCTGGTGCTCTGTACCTGTATCCACATGCCTTTGCTTTCTGGAGCCTGTCTGTTCCATCCAATGGGATGCTCTGTGAGAACTGGGCCTTCTCTTCCTCTGAATTCCAAGGCAGTCCCCACAGCGACTGAGGACATAGTCAACATAACAGTATTTGGGGGCACCTGCAGGGATCCAGGTGTTGTGTTGAACCCTCACAGAACTGACTGCCAAGTGGGTGGTCAGATTGGAAGGAGATGGACCACTGGGGCCTGGCTCCCTGATAGAGTATGCCAGGGAATGGAAAATGCACTAGGAGAATTTCCCCAGTGCCAGGCAGATGTTTTTGTAATGGACTGGTCCTGTGACTCTGCTCGTCCTAATTAGTTGTGCTAGGCTTCTGTCTCTGAAGTGCTGGTGACTCTGCCTTCCATACAGACTTGTGGTAAGGGCTAAAAGGAGCTGTGTAGAACAGGTGGCCAGCCTACAGCTGAGTGTCATGTTTTCAGTCACTATGGCTGCGTTTTTAGTACAATTTATTAACTGCTATTCTCACTACTATCAATATTAGCAAATTTCAAATGCTCTCCCTGGGCTCTCCCAAAGTTGAAACCTTGGCTGGAATAGGGGGACTTTTTCCCCAAGCTGCCTTGGAGCTCCCCCTGGTGGGCAGGGAGTCTCAGTGAGTGGTTGAAAGGGGTCTGCAGCCCCAGCTGACCCTCAATCTCTCCCTCTAGCCGGATGACATTGGCCAGTCACCCATTGTCTCCATGCCAGATGGAGACAAGGTAGACCTAGAGGCCTTCAGTGAGTTTACCAAGATCATCACCCCGGCCATCACCCGTGTGGTGGACTTTGCCAAAAAACTGCCCATGTTCTCCGAGGTGAGTAGCAAATGGAACCTTGGGTCACTCCCCACTGGGTCACACAGCCTCACTGGGTATTCCTCCGATGTTCTCTAGACAGAGGGAGTGATTCTTGTAGACCAACAGATATTTAGCACATGAGTGTATACGCATGTGTGTACACACACACACACACACACACACACATGCACACACGGTCCTAGAGTGACCATTGTACCTCCAGGCAGCGTGACTCATCTCTTCATTCTGCGTAGCACTGACTGGAAATAGGCTGCTGCACTAGCTGTGGGACCTTGGCCAAGTTACCTAAGTGCCCTGTACTACAGTTTTTTGAAGAGGACTGGAAGAATGAGGGGACCTCACTCTTGGGCATAACTGTGAGGTTTAAGTGCAGTAGTGCATAGGTGGGCATGGCCCAGCAAAGAGAGTGGGGAGATCGTGGGGCATGGGGAGGATGTACTGAGTGGTCTGTGGTCCTACTGTTCCACAGCTGCCTTGCGAAGACCAGATCATCCTCCTGAAGGGGTGCTGCATGGAGATCATGTCCCTGCGGGCAGCTGTCCGCTATGACCCTGAGAGCGATACCCTGACGCTGAGTGGGGAGATGGCGGTGAAGCGGGAGCAGCTCAAGAATGGCGGCCTGGGTGTAGTCTCTGACGCCATCTTTGAACTGGGCAAGTCACTCTCTGCCTTTAACCTGGACGACACGGAAGTGGCCCTGCTTCAGGCTGTGCTGCTAATGTCAACAGGTATCTTGCCACATGTGGCTGAGAGGTCCCAGAAGCTCTCAGGGGCTCTAGCGTTTATCTCCACCCTAGGCTTCCTGCTTGCCCCCTTCCTTAGGTTCGTCTTTCATAGGCACTCTGCTTTCACTCCCCAGCTCCTTCTCTGTAACCCAGTCCATCCTCTGTCCCCTAGACCATGCTCTATTATTTTATTTTTTAATGAATTTTTCCCTCTCATGTTTGGTCTCCAGACTATTTATTGCCTTTGACCCCCAACCTTCTCTCTGTCTCTGTTCCTCCTCTGTCTCCAGCTTTCCTCTCTTAATGCCACCTCTCTGTTTCTCCTCCTTATGGATGGCTTCATAGCCCCTGGCTCTCCATGCATCTCCCCGACCCCAGTCACCTAGTCCTGCTAAGGAAGTTGCTCCTACCCATGTCCCTTGGTGCCTTTTTTTTTTTTTTTGCTTTTTTTGTTTGTTTTGGTTTTTTGAGACAGGGTTTTGTAGTCCTGGCTGTCTTGGAACTCCCTCCATGGACCAGGCTGGCCTCAAACTCACAGAGATCCGCCTGTGTCTGCCTCCTGAGCACTGGGATTAAAGGCGTGCACTACCACTACCCAGCCTCTCAGTGCTATTTTCTTCCCCTGGTCTCTCCTGGGCTCTCTGCCTCAGTGTCCCTCCATGCCCTCCCGAATGTTTTCTCCTGTGTTTTTCTCAGCCCTCAGCACTCATTCCCTCCTCCCTGCAGACCGCTCCGGCCTGCTGTGTGTGGACAAGATTGAGAAGAGTCAGGAGGCGTACCTGCTGGCCTTTGAGCACTACGTCAACCACCGCAAACACAACATTCCACACTTCTGGCCCAAGCTGCTGATGAAGGTGACTGACCTCCGCATGATCGGGGCCTGCCACGCCAGCCGCTTCCTCCACATGAAAGTCGAGTGCCCCACCGAACTCTTTCCCCCTCTCTTCCTGGAGGTCTTTGAGGATCAGGAAGTCTAAAGCCTCAGGCGGCCAGAGGGTGTGCGGAGCTGGTGGGGAGGAGCCTGGAGAGAAGGGACAGAGCTGGGGGCTGAGGGAGAACCCCCCCACCTCTTCTCTCCTTCCTCCCATCCTTGGATAGATGCAGCTCCCATATACCCCTGCACTGCCCAGTCCCCCTCAGAACCTCCAGCCCTCACACAGGGCAACAAATGAACTTGCTATGAAAGACAGTATGGGAGGCTGGGACCTAAGTCCTAGAGTTCCCGGGAACCCCCAACCTCTAAGAAAGTAGGGAAAGGGAGGAAGAACTAAGAGGGGCAAGCCATCCTGATTGTAGGGTCAGGAGGAATGAGGAATAGGGGCAGATGCCCTCACTCATCCCTATACACACAGGAGAGCCCTGCCAAGTTCCTTGGCCTAGATTCCCCTTCAGGCCACAGGTCTCTACTTCCCCAAAAACCTGGGTCCTGGCTGTAAAGGACAGCTTGGCTTGGCTTAGCTCCTCCCCTGGAGGCTAAAAATGGTAGTCATCCTAACTGCACTTTGGAAAGCAAATAAGGGGAGACTATAAATGAAGAAAACCTAGACAGACAAAAGACAAAACACAAAAAAACAAAAAAACAAAAAAAAACAAACAAAAAAAAGAGAGCGTTGAGAGAGAGAGAGAGAGAGAGATGATATTAAGTTATTAGCTGAGGCTGGTCCAAGGGGAAGGACCCCCCCCCCTCCCCACCCCCATGCACTTTGAGAACTGCCCTTCTGACCCCCAGAGAGAAATGCCCCCAGCGGACCTACAAGGGTAGGGCTGCTGGTTAGAGCTGTGAGCTAACACAACAGGGTCCTGGCGCCCCCCCTTGCCTTGCCCCTCCCCCCCGCCCCCCCCCGTGCCCCTTTGGCACCGCACCCCAGTACTTCCTCTGCTCTCTGCCACTCGTGCCCGCTGAGTTCCATCTACCTCTCACGCTGGATGCCAGCTGGCCCCTCACCAGCCTGCCCTGTTGCCCACACAGCTCCCCTTTCAAGTGCCCAGCCCCAGGGGCCTCCTGTTCCCCCTCCTCCTATACCTTGGCACCCACACACAGGAAAAACTGCGGCCCAGGCTCCTTCCCTCCTCGTATCCTGCAGTATTAGCTACAATCCAGATGCTGCTGCATGGGGGGCGGGGTGGACATGTGTGTCTCCCAGAACCTCCGCCCACCCCTGTGGGACTCCTGTTTCCTGTCTGTTTTCTGGGCTCCCTTGGCCCTCCTTACTGACTCCCACTTGATGCGCTAACCCAGACGTAGGGCAGGCTGGCATGCAGTGGGAGTGTTTCTATCAGTGGCACTTAGGGGCCCCGGGGAGGAGGCAGTTGGCACTCCTCCTGTTTTCTTTGACGCTCGCTCGCTCGCTCGCTCTTTAGGCCAGCCACCCCTCCGCCCCTGGGACCCTTCTCCCCTCTCCTTTTCTAATTCAGGGACTTTGGCTTGAGCCAGCTCCCACCCTCTGGTGAGGAGTGCTCTGTTGGTCTGCACTTGGGTGAGCTGCCCTCCCAGTCCTCCCTCCCCCTCCTCCCCCTCCTCCTCTTCCTCCCTTTGACTACAGCCCACTCCTCTGCAGAGAGGGAGGGAGGAGGCGGCCCTCCCCTGAGTGGGAGGGAAGGGAGGAGAGGGAGAAACAGAGCAGACCAGTGGCCCTGGCCTCAGGGCTGCATGTCGGCAGGGATGGATGGGTGGACATAGATGCCCCCCGGAAGCCATGGGGAATGGGGCAGGGGGGGCGGGGAGGGGTGCCAGGGCTTCCTGCGCTTTGCACTATTGGGGCAAAAATGTCTTAAGCGGTGGGGAACCTGCCACCCCACTCTGACCCTCAGCCTGCCACAGCCCCTCTACACACACACACACACACACACACACGCACGCACGCACGCACGCACGCACGCACGCACACACGCAGAGGAAGGCAATGCTTCACTGTCCCCAGGGCAGTGTCCTCCACCACTGTCCAGGTGTTCCCACTGGGCAGAGGGCCTGGAGGAGCATCTCCTGTCATCACCTGTGCGTGTGCCTGCCCCACCCCTTGGGGCCTCCGGGCCGCCTGTGCTCTCTTTTGTCTCTACCCTCTTTCTCTCTCCGGGGGTACTGATTTCCGTATTCCTCCAGTCCCATGGGTAAACCTTCTCATACCTTCCCCCGTGACCTGGGGGCCCAGTGGAGTTCCTGACCTTGCCTGCTGTCTCCCTCCTTCCCCTGGCTCCACGCCTCCCTGTCCATTCCCAATCTCCGCCGTGGGCATGGCCTCTTACAGGCACTTGGGAATCCCCTCCCCTCCCCCAAATCGTATGAGCTGTGAGCCCCTTCCCCTCAGCCCTCCCCCTCCCCCTCAGTGACGTGGAGTGTATGTGTGTGTTCCTGTGTGTGAATGTATGAGTGAGTACACGTTGTGGGAAGGAGCCAGAGAGACTCAGGAGTGCCACGCACCTGCTCTAGAGAGGCAGCTGTCCCAGTCCCTACTGTGGAAGTGGGGGACAGGGCCCTCTCCTGGGGGCCATTGGTGCTAATGGGGGGATGGACTTGGCATGGGTGCTTAGCATGCCTTCCCCCAGTGTTGGCCCGGGGCACTAGGGCAGGCCGGGTGGGGCAGCGGGTGCAGTATTGATGGGAGAATGGGTTGCTGGGAGAAGGTTGGGGGGGCCAGGCCAGGACAAGGGGGTGCCAGAGCCATGACCACTACCTGCCCCTACCACTGCCTCTCCATCTCAGTATTCCCCCCTCCCATCACTTATAACACACATACCTCATCCAGCCTCCTCCCTGCTCAGACTTGGGGAGGGTGGGGGAGGAGGAGCCCCTACCCCTTCCCCGGGTGGTGGGTCTGCAGGGCTGGGAGAGGGCAGGGCAGGGGGTGTGACATAGACACCGTCCATTAGGGGGAAATGTACTTCCTGCCCTAGGAACTCCTGGGTGGAGGAGGGGGGGGACACTACCCAGAGGCGCTACTGAATGTATGAGAAGCTGGTGCTGGGGTGGGGGGAGGGGGTTTATGGCTAGAAAACAGGGAAGGAGATAGGTCCCTTCCCCAGAGACGGGTGGGACCGGTAGGGGTGACTTGAGGGGCTCCTACTCCTGCCCCACAGTTGACAATCAGTATGTCTGTTATGTGCGATTTTTCACCCCATTGTGTTTTGGGTCAGGATTTTAAAGAAAGATATTTTTATGGTAATTGTTGCTCGTCTATTTTACTACATATTTATGTAATAAATATATGATGAAAATAACCCCCGTGGGCACCCCCCCTTTAGACTTGTGTGCTGTTTCCCCATATTCTCCCATCTGCTGGCAGAGTACCCACCCCACAAGCTGACCAGATGGAGAGGTGCCCCCCCCCCAGCCTTGGCAGTAGTCCCCTCCACCCCCAGCCCCCAAACGAGCACACACCACAGAAGCCAACTCAGCTGTGAACTATTGGATTTGAGACAGGAACAGAACAAGTCGGGGGGCCAGAGGAGGGCGGGAGAGCAAGAATGGTTTAAATAGGGGAGGATGGGAAGCATGGTGATGGGGGTGGGGGAAGTTATTTACAAGAAGGCTCAGGGGGCCAGAGGCTCATCTTGGAATATTTTATAACAATATAAATAAGATTCTGGTTTGCTTTTCCTTTTCGTCTCGTAAAGGAGAGAGAAGTGCAGAGTTCGATTCTGTACAAGGGGGCAGCGGCAGAAGGCCGGCCGGGCGGGTCACTGGGCGTCCACCCGGAAGGACAGCAGCTTCTCGGAATGCATGTTGTTCAGGGTCCGCAGGTCCGGCAGCTTGAGCAGCAGCTTGGTGAAGCGGGAAGTCTCCGAGGGCCGGTTCTTCAGCACCAGAGCCCGAAGAGCCCGCAGCAGCGTCTCCTGGAGCTGCTCCACCGAAGCGGAATTCTCCATTCCCGAGCGGTCTGTGGGGAAGAAGACAGCGGTGAGGCAGGCTCCCCGAGCTCCTCCTCCTCCTCCTCCTCCTCCTCTGACGAGGACCCGGAGGTCCCCGAGGATATGGCAGGCAAGGCAGCCTCGCCCTGAGGCCCCTTGGAGGGTGATGGGGGAGGAAAAGGAGGGTGCTCCTCCTCCTCCCAGGCCTCTGCCCCAGAGCAGGGCATGCCCAAACAACACTGGGAGCAAGGCCACAGGCTGGCCACCTCCCACCCCTCCAGACCACCCTCCTACCCTGAGCAGGCCACACATTTGGCCAAGCTCCCTCGCTATGTGCTCTGTAGTTCCCCCTGCCTGGGATGCCCTTCCCCCTCAATGCCTGGCAATATCTTGTCCCTTTGAGGCTACTCAAGTGTCACCTCCTTCCCCAGCTCTCCCAGGCAGAAATAGTTGTCTGTGCTTCCCCCAGTTCATGCTTCTACTGTGACACTTATCTCACTGTTTTATAATTAGTCGGGCATGAGTCTGTTTCCCAAGCTAGACTGTGTCTGAATCATGTCTGTACCCCAGTGCCCAGTGCAGGGCCTGGCCTAGAGTAGGTACTCCATAAAAGGTATGTTAAACTGAACTGCGTGTGCCTCCTCCAGGGTCAGGCGAGAGCTTGGCCTACCTGCAGAGACAAGCACCACAGCGGTGAAAAGGCCCAGCTCCTCCTCGGTAAGCGCCAGGGAGTTGAGCTTCTCGCTGAAGTCAAACATGGCATTGAGCAGGTCGCCCATGCCCATGGCACCGAGCTCCTGCAGACTGTAGGTTGTGCGGCTCAGGAACATCACTGTCTGGTCCTTCACGTTGAACAATGATGCAAAACGCACCATCAACACCTGAAGTGAGGACAGTCATCTTGAGGGAGGTGGGAGGAGAAGCCTTTGACCCCTACAGTTTGCCCAAAACGTCAAGGGGGTTGGTTGCCTTTGTTGCCTTAGATTGCCAGTAAGGGGGAAGACCTCGGAATGGTCAATAGGGGGGGGGGACCCAAGTGAAAGCACCCATCAGTTCTGGAATGCACATTTAACCAAAGACCATCCATCGGCTCCTGTCTAGAGAGGGGAGCAATGTGCCCTAGGTGTTACTCTGATACGGGAGATTGGAGTACACACTGGCTTAGAGGATGGAAGTCCCACATACCCAGAGGTGGGCGATCGTGGTGGAGGTTCCCCTCTTCCGTCAGAGATAATACCGTTCCAAGGTCTCTGTGAACCCCTTCCCACCCCAGTCCCTAAGCTATTCTAACTGGGTCCTGCCCATAGTCAAGAGCAGGCAACAGAAAGTATTGCTCACCTCAAAGGTGCCAGCCTTAAGCAGGGTCACCTGGTCGTGCTGAGAAAGGTCACGGAAGCCGGGGATGTGCTTGGCAAATTCTACCACTTCCCGCACAGCAGGCGTGAAGCTCATCGAGAAGTCTTCCCAAATCTCTTGCACGGTCCGGCCACTGCGTCCGTGGGGATACATGTTCATGGGACATGCCTATGGGGAAAACGGAGTTAAGGAGGGGCATGTCAGCCGGGGGGGGGGGGGCTCACCTGGGCTCCCTCAGCGGGACTCTTTTTTCCACATTCTGCCTGGGTTCAGAGCTACGGCCCCTGAGGATGGGTCTCTCACCTACAATAGCATTCAGGTGCCAATTGATGATTTAAGAGTTTCCAGGCAGAACCCAGGCTTTAGGGTAGAATGTCATTTCCTGGGCAGAGGGTATCCGCACTCTCAGCCTCCAGGAATACTAGCTGCCTTACTCTGGGTCCAACCTTTGAGCCCCCCTCCCCCTCTCCCCACACTGGCTCCGTGCCCTCACCAGCAGAACATTCTTGGTGTTGCCTTGCCGTAGACTGTTGGCAGGTGCCTCGCCTTCTGAGGCCGAGTAGACGTGGGTGGGGCATAGACGGTGCCCATTGCTGTTGGGTTGGTGGCAGCTGTGGTGGGCAGAGCCAGAGGGCCAGGTAGGAGGGTAGGAGGAGGGGCCTTGGCATAGACCATTCAGTGCTTCATTATGACGCTGAGCCGCCAAAATGTTATTGTCATTAGGGGTAGGTGGGCATCCCTGACTCTCCCAGCGGTGTTGGGTAGGAGCTGAAGGGCTACTTGATGATGCATGATTGGCATTGAAGTTGCCAGGTGAGGTGCCTAACTTGTCATGGGCGTAGGTGAAGATTTCTCGATGGGCCCGAGCCACCTGGGATATCACATCCTCCACGGTGGGCTCAGGGCTGGGGGATCTGGGCGGTGTCAGCTGTTGTGGGAACTGAGAGAAGCCCACCAAAGGCGTGGGGGCTGGCGCAGGAGGTGTCGAGGGGCCTATGGAGCCTGTGGTGGGGTGAGGGGTAGGTGAGGTCTCCAGAGGGCACAGGCTGCTCAGTTGGTTGTTGGCCAAGTTCATGGCGCTCTGCATCTCAGCGAGCATCCGCTGCTTCTCTCTCTTGGGGATGCGCCCAAAACGCACAGCTGCAACAGGACGAGAGCAGTGTCAGGAAGTTCTCACATACTCACGTGCCCCTCTTCCTTCCTTCCTCCTGAAAGGGCAAGACCCTGAGAGCTGGGGTTCCACTTCAGAACTGAAACCAGCAAGGCCACACCCATTCAAAGGGTTTGATAGTAGGTGACCAGGGGGATGACTGGGAGACGAGTGTGCTTGCCCAAGAGGTTAACACATGAGCGTCCTCCATGCAGATGACACTCACAGTACCACGTTCTCAACTTAAGGCTCTTTTTTAAACGGAAGGATTAAGGCAGAAACAAGGTGGAAGGAAATGGGGCAAGGAGGTGGCATGGGGATGCCGCCTTACCATCTCTGGACATGCCAACGGAGAGACACTTCTTGAAGCGACATTGCTGGCAGCGGTTCCGATTGATGCGGACGATGGAGCAGTTCTCGTTTTTCAGACACCGTTTGTACTGGATATTCTGTTGGATGCTCCGACGGAAAAAGCCCTGGAAGGCAGGGGCGACTAGTGAACATCTTCATCTAAGCTGAGGCTGTGCATCTTGGGGGGTGTGTGTGTGTGCAATCACCTGCCTGGGTCCTCAACCCCAACCCGCCTCACCTTGCAGCCCTCACAGGCATGCACGCCGTAGTGGAAGCCTGAGGCCACGTCCCCACATACTTTACACAGTAGCACCATGCCATTCAGCTCTGTGGGAAGAGACAGGCAGAGGGTAAGCAGAGAGGCCTGAGATACAGAGGCTTTCCTGGTAGAAGATTCTAGGAGGGAAAGGCTAAGGAGGAGCTCCCATGTCTAGGAACACTCAGGTGACCAGACTGGACTTGACTGGACAGGAGCTCGTACAACTCTAAGAGAAATCCCAAAGGCCCAGACATAGACCGGGAGAGTAACTGTCTCTAGATGGATGGAAACCAACTATCAACTAAATCCTGGCTCACTTCCTTTCCCCTAAATCAGTTGGGCATTTACTCACTGGTAATGTTGCTGGTGCCCTTGCTGGGAGACACTCGGCTGCTGTCTTCCATGGCCACTTGTAGACTTCCTGGGGGGCTCCCATTATAGAAGGAGGAGGAAGAGGAGGAGGACGAGGAAGATGCCGAAGAAGGGGAGCTATCATCACTGAGGCTGGGTGGTACACTTCCAAAAGAGCGGGCAGGGTCCTGGGTGAGGGAGCCGGTGGGTGATGGTGGGAAGTATGTGGGACAACCTTGAGTCAGGGACTGGAAGCTGCCATTGGAGCTGTCACTGTAGAGGGACTCCGGGCTGGTCCGGCTGGGAGAGGAGCCACTGGAGCCAATGTAGGTGATAACACCACCTAATAATAAGAGAACGCAAGAGGAGGGTATCAAGCATCGTGTCTGTGGGTCAAGGGCACCACCTGATCCATCACCAAAATACTGTTCCTCTTAGGAGTTATTCATGTAGAACCCCTAACCTTGGAGTAATAAGCAATTCTCCCACACACATTAGACATGACGAGGTCAACCTAGTCACTCTAAGAAAGTCTCCATCACATGCTACATAGGATAGTCGACCTAGTCCCAGGAAACACCCATGGCCACTTATTTGCACAATACATTCAAGTTCTGCTTTGAGTGTGAGGCATAACCCCACTGGCTGGGCATCTCATACATGGGAACCTAGATAGTTTCCTGGGGAACATAGCAACTGTAGCTAGTCACTTAGTTATAAGGGGCAGACTTGGGGACAGGATGGGCAGCTGGCAGCCATTCACAAACCAAGCTGCCAGTTCTACGCTAAGACCTATCCAGTGATGGACTGTGAAGGGCGGCGAGCCAAGAGTTAATAGGATAGAGGTC